TCCGTGTTCAGGCACCACATGTCCTGACCTGCAGGATAGTCGAACAGGTTCCCTGGGGGAGGGAGTGAGAGATGGGACAAACACATGCACACACAATACGAGGTGCTGATCAAATCTTCTTCTTCTTCCTTTTCTTCCTCTTCTTCCATTTATTGAGGAAAAATGGCGAGTTATATATAGCTGGTGGGCACCAATTGATTGTCCGAAATGCAAATGAGATAGAACAGCATGAACCAATCATTGATGTGGGTGGATCTCTCCTGTTGTCTAGAAACCCAACCACTTCCGGGAGAACAGTTGGTCACATGATTTCTGAGAAATGGTTTGCTCAGTGAGGAAGTGAAGCCTAATGGTTTCCAAGATAGTGGATAGCTCAAGATGGAGGATAGCTCAAGATGGCTTCCATATGCAGTGCCTTCCACAGATCATGAAAGAAAGAAAGAAACTTTAAAAATCATATTATACATCTTCAATATATACAATTTTTATTTTGTCAATTATATATTAATAAAGCTGTGAAGAAGCATCTAAGAACTGGTGAGTCTGCCAATATTTACTCATACAAATTGTTCCAGATTGCAGAGTCCACTAATTCTTCAGTGATATTTATTTTTCAGTGGTCTTTCAAATTATTCTGTTACATGGTATAGACAGCTTTGCTTAAGTGCCTGGAATAACCTAGTTTTAAAAATAAATATTTGAATTCCAAAAATATTTCAGATGTTGTTATAGGCATTGGATAGCAGTGAACAAAACAGATAAGCATCCCTTCTGTCATGAAATTTGCACAAAGCTTCTATTACACTTGGACTATATTAATCCTCACCATCACCACATAGCAGTACTTTGTGCAAGGTGCATGCCACAGACACTGCTCAAAGAGGAGATCTTAGAGAAGAAACCTGAATGACTTAAAAGAGTGAGCTGGTGGAAGAATTTTCCAGGTAGAATGAAGACCAAGTGCAAAGCCCCGCACAGGATTGTTCAAGGAGCAGGTTAGTGGAACAGTAAGGAGGCTACTATATCTAGAAGTGCAAGAGAGCAAAAAGATTGAATTCATATTTATATTGAGCACCACTGAATGCTATTCACTGCACTGAGCATTGGGAATACAACAAAAAGCAAAACAAACCCAGTCTCTTCCAGCCTACAGCATACAGTTTCATGAGAGAGACAGACATTATCAAATAATTCTACATTTGAATATAAAGGTCCAACTTTGAAAAGTACTAGGAAGGAAAACTTTGATGTGCTGTTTGAACTTTGAAAAGTACTAGGAAGGAAAACTTTAATATGCTGTAAGAGAATAATGCAAGAGCTTATTTAGACTGTTAGATTAAGGAAGGCTTCTCAGGAAAAATCTCTATGTAGTAGAGATTTGAAGAATGAATAAGAGTTAAACAGGGGAAGCTTGACAAAAGCGAAGAACTTTATAGGCTGAGGAAACAGTGTGTTCAAAGTGTTTATGGCAGTAGAAAACATGAGAAGGAGGAAAAACTGAAAGAAGGCTGATGTGGCTAAGTGTAGACAGTAAGGGGTGTAATACCTTGAGTTGTTATTAGAGATATAGTGGGAGACAAGGATATGTTGACAGATTTGGTTTTCTAAAAGCAATGGGAAACCACAGAGGAATTGAAAGTGTATATCATGCAGATTGGCTTTCAGAAAAAGTTCACTCTGACTGTGGTGTGGGCAGAATTAATTCAAGATGGCAAACATGCATGTGGGAGGATGTTAACGCAGTCTAGATGAGAGATTTTAGTTCCTTGAACTATGGAGGTAGCAGTAGAGTCTAGTAGGGAGAAAAGAAGGAGGATTCAGGGTATGTTTGTGGGGTAGAGCTCATAGGATTTACTGATGTGGGAATAAAGGGGAAGGAGGTGTCAAGGAAATTTAACCAGGTTTTTACCTGGTGAAGTTGGGTGAGTAGTGGTGTCATTTTATTGGAATTAAGAGTACAGTAAAAAGATGGATTATAATTTGGACTTAAAGGAAGTAAGTTTCATACACAAATATGCATAGACATACAGATCTGGCTATATTTTTCTCTGTGTTCAAGTTGATTGAGAATACATACTAATAGAGAAAATAATATAAATTCAAACTCCTTTTATATTTATATTTCTTGTGAAGTTCTAGACTCTCACACATCTCTGTAATGTGTTTCCATCCAACATTTCACATCCAAGTCATTCACTATGGTAATGGCCTCTAAATAGACCTAGGCAATTCCTTGCTTTAATGACCTAACTCCTGCTGTTTCACTTGCCTAGAATGCTTTCTTGTCTCATTTGTAAAACTCCTCCTATAATCTTTAATTCAGATGACTCTTTCCATCTTAATTGTAATAGCATTTATTGACTGAAACATCATCTTATGTTTATCAATCACAAACAAGTTACTGCTAATTTACAAATGATCTAAGCTGCAAAGTTCATTTGTATACCACTTGTCTGAAGTACAGAATTTACTTTCCTGTAGAAAATCTTTCATGAATGGTTGTTAGATTCCAAGGCTAACCCATAAAACCAATTTAGTCTGTAATGTAGTAGAAGTAGAGGGATATTTGTGATGTAAAAGAGTAGAATGTGAAACTCTTAAATTAAAAAAAAAGAATAAGAAATTATTTAATGTATTTGGAATGTTAGTGCTTGAGGAAAATCAGTTTTAATTAAAAGAGGGAGAAAAGGTAGATTGAGAATTAGAGTTCCTCTTCCACCAAAGCCTTGCCAGCCCTTATCATTATTTATTTATTTATTTATTTTTAAGTTTAGCCATTCTGACTCAGCTTAAGTGGTATTTTATTGTGGTTTTGATTTGCAGTTCCCTTATGATTAGGGTTGCTTTATTTTCTAGTTTGGATTTTATTGTTGGCTTGCACAGGCAGCAAAGGCATGCAGGTTTTTTTTCAGGAATTTATACATTTTCTTTTAACTTAGAAAGCACAATTATTCACATTCTAGCTCAAATTTGATCTGCCTATTGTTCTTCTTCCTCTCTCTCTCTCCTCTCTTGGCTACTCTTTTTTTTCTTTCATTCATTTATTTATTTTTACATTTTTCTACAAACATTTACATATCAAAAAATTTTAGCTCATACTCCATAGTTCTCAACAGTTTATAAACAACTTTCGAAATTTCAAAATACTGAATTTTAAAGATAATGTTCAAAATATTTCTTATAATTTTGCATAATTTTGTGACTCTATAACAACAGAAACAGTATGATTTTAAATATTTTCTCGGTTACTCTTGAACAATACCATTTACTCTTGGTTTTATAATCCCACAGTGAGTTGTCTCTTAGGACTAAGTAATTAACCAGCTAGAATCCAAATTCAGACCCATTCCCCTACTTTCTGGCCTGCGTTCACACTTACTGTTCTCTCTTATTTGGCATGGCCTATAGCCAATGTATTGAGATACTCAAAGCCTTCCTCTGAGGCCAGAAACTACACTCTAGCACAAGATGAGGGGCCTATTTCAGAAGATGGAATCAACATTCAGTTCTTAATTCATTCTGATCACCAAATATCAGCTTCAGAGAGATGAAGGATGATCAGATAAGAGCTAAAACAGAAAGAGGAGAATCTTGGAGATGGAAGGAGCTCCCTGATGTTGATCTAGAGATATCTGTAAGGAAATTTAAATCAGCTATTCAGAAGTCAGACACAGTTTATACAAGTGAAATTACAAACAACACTCACAAATAGATCCCTCTCTTACAATCATTTTAAAATTTTGTTTACCACCATTTTTAATTTTGTTACTAAAATACAGGCTCTGTAAGTACATAGACTTTATTTTGCTCACTGCTATATCCCCAGTACATATGATAGGACATGGTATATTCAATTATTATGTTTTGAATAAATAAATGAATAATTACTACTTTTCATTTAAAACTAGATCTTTCTCTTACAGTTCTTCTGATGACTCAATAAGTAAGGCCTTTTCTATTCAATTCTGAATATTATAGCTTCCTCAAATGTTGTCTACAGAATCACTTAGAACAAAAGACCTTTCCAAGAACCCAGTCCCTAAAGTAACTACCTGAATTGGCCATGTTTTAAAGTCTTCATCATTCATTTCAGAACCACATTTTCTCAAAGAGCACTCATCACTTCTTTTTTTTAAAAAATTTTTAGATATTTTACTAGAAAAACATTTATTAAATAATATATATTCTTTTCCTAACTCCATTCTAATAGTTTATAAACTATCAAAGTAAGTCATAGGCATTAAAATGTTAACATTTTAGATAGTCAAGTTAAAAAAGAAACTAAGATTAGATGTAGCTATGAATATATACTAAATATGTCACCTTTTCTTTCTTATACAGAGTACCTTCTCTTAGAAAAGGGAAATTAATTAACAGGACACTATATACTTCTTGGTGACCTTAGAGTCAAAAGAAAGATGCTGAGAGATCACAGAGACTCAGAATCATAAGCAGTCCAGAGGATGCAACAGAGCCCAAACTGGGTATCATAAATTTGGTGGAAATGCAAGCGAAACATTTTATGTTTTAATATTTGAAGAAAGTCACGCTACACATAACAATTTTTGACTTTTATGTCTATCAAAGAAAGGCAAAAAAAAGTATTATGTTTAAGGGCAAGAAAAGTATATCATAAAATTTTAAAGCATGTCAATGCAAAACCAAATTTTATTTAGAACACCTCATTTTTTGACTATGAATCATTAGTACTTATATTTAGTAAGCGAACAAATAACATTCCAGAAACTGTTTACATTTAAGGAATATAGAAACAAGTTGACAAAATTTACCCATCTTAAAGAAAAGCTGTTGAGACCGGGAGCAGGATTAGCTTTCCAGTGCACAAAAGGGCAACTCCTGCTATATAGTCTCTGGAAAGAGATCACTGCCATGAATGCTTGACCACTTAGGTCCTTGGCCAATCCCAGGCCTAAGAGAAACACAAGCCACACAAAACCAAACTGAACACCAGTAATAAAACCCTATTCTTTATCATAGTTTCATGCTTCTTCTGCTGTTTCAGTCTCGGAGTACATCCGGCACAGTGCTGCATTAGGGCAGCATACAAAGACATCCATTTCACTTCCTAACTCTGTTAACTGCTCCAATGAAGACACACAAGGATAATGGTCTTTTAACATATCTGGCAATTTAGAAGTCTTCTCTTGAAGATGTTGAGTTGGTCTCATAGGTGTCAGGAATTTCAGCTCTTTAAATGTAGAATTTATTTCATCAAATTGCACCTTCTTCTTTACACTTTGCAAGTATGGAGTAGTAGACACATTATATTTTATTAAGCAACCTGCCCTAGTTTCTGTATTGGGAGTTTTAACATCACAGGTTGACTCTTTAGTTTTGTCATCTTGCTCCTTTTCACAATCCTGAAATACCACATTTCGATGATGTTTATTCTCCTTTTCTGGTTTTCCTAGCTGTAGATTTACACCTACATATTCAGTGTCAACTTCTTGGATTTGTTCTTGGGTTACACAATCATCTTCAGTATTTTTCTCCAAATTAACCTTTTCTTTTTCTTGATTCTTCATTGTGATAATATCTACAATCACATGCCACATCTGTTTAATAGGCTGAGCCCTTGCCAGAATGGCTTGCTCATAAATTGCAATAATATCTTCAATAGAACTTGTAATTGATTCAATACGTGCAAGACATATCCAATATTTAACAAGTTTTTTAGCATCTGGAATATTTTTAATCAAGTCATTCAGTGTGACCAATATTTCTTCTTTAGGGCATCCCCCATTAATCAGGTTCAGGCATTCAGAAAATGTCTTATTCACTTTTTCAGTAAATAATCTTTGTTCATCTTCTTCTGCCATGGTAGTCCAGAAGGACCCAACTGGTTTTTGATTTTGTGCTTCAGGCTCAGGCTGGGTAACCACTGAATTAGGTGGCCTTTTCACCATTCTTCCTTTGTTGGCTTTCCACTCACTCAGACGAGCTCTACAGTTAGAAGCAGTATGTACATATCATTTTGATATCAATAATGGAATTCTATCAAATACAGAAAAAGTTAACAGTTCAGGTCCTGGGGCCAGTAGGTGGCGTGGTGGTTAAGGGCGCTAGACTCCCACATAGCCGACCACGGTTTGAGTCCTAGACCTGGTGGCTTGTTTTCTCACTTTCTTTCTGTCCTTCGGTTGTCAAATTAAAAATAAATATAATAATTTTTAAAAAGAGTTAAATAAAATCATTCTAAAACAATAGTTCGGGTCCTTAGGTAGTTCTACACTAGCAGCACATACATAATTCACATGTTTAAAGAAAAAGAAATACTGAACATACCAGATCAATTATGTGCTCAAAGGCCCCAAGAATGTGTGTTTAAATGAAGAGGTGATAAAATGCTACCCCAATTATTAAGCACTTAGATTACAAAAAGTAATACCAAAACCCAGTTAATATTTAGGTTATATATTTTAGGTTATATTATTCTACAATATAAATCTGCTTGCATATGACGAGAAGAATCCACAAGAGAAAATTCTAAAACATTCAAGAAAATTACAAGTCAAATTCAAATGGTACTTTATTGAAAATTAAGGTAATAAATGAAAAAAATTACATCCACTTACTTTCTCTCTTCTGCTGTTTCTTTGGGCTGGGCTGATCTACTATCAGTAGTTACTTTTGCTATAGTGTGTCTTCGCTGCTCAATGGATTTTGACTTTTCTATTAGTTTGGTATTAGAAGATGAAGCAGGCCTGGCTACAATTTCAGATGTGATGCTTCTTGATAGTGGCTTAATTCTTTTTATGTCCTCAGAAGAACTGGTTGCGACACTAGATAAAAGCTTTTTAGATTGTAATAATTCTTTTTCACAAGGCCCTTTATGGATTGTAACATGGCAGAGGTCCTACTGATTCCTTGTTTCACTGTGTCCCAGGTATTAGTGTGGTGATTTCTTATAGGAGGTCGAACAAGTTGTGTGCTCTGGGATGTAGTGCTCACAGATTTAGTGGTAGCAGTCAGATTTGAGGATCTACCACTTTTTACTGTTACAGTGCTGATATTTACAGATCGAGGCTTTGTGACTTTAGAGACAGTAGTTGAAAGTTTCTTTGTTGTTGTAGAACTCTCATCTTTGACTTGTAGAGGTTTTCTACATGAATTAACCTTAGACTGCACAATTTGGCCATGATAAGATCCAAGGATAGGTTTCTTGGGCATATTAAAATTTTGCTTTGGTTTTTCTGTAGTGATTTGTTTCTTTTTATTATTATTCTTAAAGTGAAATGCCTGGCTTAATGTCTTATGTTGATTTGGGGGATCATCTTCAATCGGTAACAACTGCAGAGTTTGATTGGCATCACCAAAATTATGTGTAGCAACTGGGGTAGTTGAATTGGTTAATTCATTTGAAGGTTTCAAAGGAATGCACTTTTCCCCATTACTGCATCATTTTTGCTCACTGTGGGTCTACTGGCATTTTCTTTATCAGCCATTTCTGTTTTAAGTTTCTGAACATTTTTCCCTTCTTCAACCTGGACCTCAGGAGTCATTACTCTCTGGCCTCTACTGGATACTGTCTGATTTTCCTGTTTGTGTGCAAAAACTGTTTTTCTTCTTAACAGATGTTCCTTGAATTTTTGTCTTCTTTGTTCTATGAACGCGGTCTGGGTTCTTTGACTCGGGGCCAGCTGCAGGTACAGGAGCACTGTTGCGGCGCTCATCGCAGTCCGCGGTCGTGAGGGCGTCACGTGTGAGGAACCCTCCAACTCCTTCAGCAACCGCTGCACTTTGCGCACGCCACAGGGATTTCGCCTTCCACTCAGTCACTTCTTTACCAGCCATCTTAGGTTGAAACAAGACTCCATACTTCCATAGACCTTGATATTCACAAACAGGTATTTGCCTGAATCAGAACACATTTACATAATGATTTTATTTTTGTAATTCTAGTTCAAAATAAAAGATAGACTATTTTCAAACCACAGGTGATTAAATAATAAGTAGACATAGCATTTGTTGCTTTAAAAAAATCCATTTTCAGGACCAGCAGATGGCGTAATGGTTTTGTTGCTGGACTCCCACATAGTTGACCATGGTTCAAGTCCCAGACCTAGTATTGTAAAACTCATGCTGGGCACATGTGCGCCCATTCCAAGAGGAGAATGGAGGAGAAGGGATTGCTGCATGGCTATTCCCCCTGGGGGTGATTTCTTGCTTTCTGTCTCTCTGGTGAGTGCACATGCCCCATAGCAAAACTCTCTATTAAGAAAAAAAAAAAAGAATCCATTTTCTTGTACCATTAAGTAATGCACAATCCAGCATCCATGCCATCAAGGTATGAGATAAGATCTTACCAATCATATCCTTTTTTAAAATTTTTATTTTATTTCAAGTTCTTTTATACACTCAATTACATTATTTAGCTTGCAAAGAGAATATTCTAACATGTGTACATTTCTCCCCAGTTCAATTTATAATACTATAAAATTGTTTTCAACAGATAATACCCCATATTCTTTGTGTGTTTCTTTGAGTGTGTCTTTTAACAATTAGTGTCGATGTCCGCCCCAGGGCTTGGGTCTGGCTGAATCAATATCAGGGGGCTGCTGGGTGAGGAAGAGAAAGAGGACAAGAAAGAGAAAGTCCTCCATCTTTCCAGGACCGTGGAATTGGAAAGAATGATTTGTCTCATTCTTTCTACAAAGACAGAGTAGAAATGGGCACAGGCAGCCTGAACCTAGGTAGCCCAAGCAACTTGTGCCACTGCTTGAGCTGCTTGAGCCGCTGCTTGAGCTGCTTGAGTCACTTGAGCCACCCAGACAAACTGGGCCTCTTCATTTATAGTACAAGGAGACATTACACATGTATGTTTCATGACACTTCATAGATTGGTTGCCAGGTTACAGACAATAAGAAGCAGTTAACAAATCTATAAGGGCTCAGTCATACTGGGCCAGGTGTCTCATCAAGAGAAAATCTCATCTTTTCTAATGCAGAGAACTAGCTGTTAGGTGTGGGGAAGGAGCTAAAGAACTTCTCCATAAGGAGTGCACCACCACACCCAGAGAAGACTAAAGAACCTTTCAGGTGCAGAGCAGGGATTGGACTTTACTAATTGGGGTCAAGATATTTATTGAAATCCATCACATGTGTCTGTTGGAATGTCCCTAGTAATTTCCACCCTTGATCTGTCTACAGGGAAGGTCAAGGAAAAGACAAGTTACAAGGTTCTGCCAAACCCCAGAAGGACAGGGGGTGTTTGCTCAGAGCATGTCCCCACACCTCAGGTTCTCTCTCTAAACATGTCCCCACAAATTAGGTTCTAGCAAAGCTTTTTCTAAAACCACAAATTTGGGACTGATAATCTTTCTTAAAATTATTGGGAACCAGTGGTTAACGTAATGGCTATGTCGCTGGACTCCCACATACTCGACTGCGGTTTGCGTCCCAGATCCGGTGGCTTAAAACTCACGCCGGGCGCGTGTGCGTGCGTGCCCGAGATCCCGAGAGGAGAATGGAGGAGAA